TCGATGTACTTCGTCTTTGATATGATTTAAATCACATTCCTCGTCATTATAAATATCACGAATACAAATCAAATGGTTTTCTGGTTGCAATTTTCTAATTTTGGCTATGCATAATGTATGCTTTACGCATGCGCGCGTTGAAAGAAATGTTTAATAAAGCAAACAAATAAATATTAAGCTTTTTATTTTGTAAATTTTGATACCCCTTAGAACATAATTGCTCATTATTTTATACATTATGATTTCATATTTTTAATTTTATAATTTTTGCATGCCATCTTACCAGATTTAAACTGATGATCTATAATCCAGAAAAATCTATAATCCGGAATCACCGAAGTCCCGACGAGTCCGGATTAAAGACTTTTGACTGTATATTATTTTGTATTAAGCTTCATTGTGTGTTGTGTGAAATAGTAGAAGTGTGCGTGCCACGTAATAAAGATTCTGAAGATTAGGTAAGTTAGTATTTTTAATCATTTGAGGATATTATTTTTATGCATTGTTCTAAATGTAAGGAGTAAATAAATTAATATGATATTATTGGAAAATTGTTATTAGCAATGATTTAGTTTAAAGTAATTAGGATTGTAATCTAATTTTTATTAATTTAATGTATGTGCTTATTTATATTTTAAGTAGTGTTTTTAATTTAATTATATTTTAATTTAATGATCATGATTTTGTGAGTTATATGTTTGTAGTATTTTGGAATACGTTTGAGTAGAATACGTTGAGTATTTTCATGCATTTTCATGAAATTTTTCTAATTTATGAGAAAAAAGCAGTGTACATGGATATAGTGAAGAGTGTGCGCAATGCCATTTTTGTGCAATTCTGGGATGTTTTTTTAAGTAAAAATAAGTCGACATGTACATGGTTTAGTGATATTTTAATTAAATGATAGTTATTTTGTGAATTTTATGTTTGTAGGAATTTGGTATACGTTTCAGTTAAAGTAAACGTGCATGGAAGTAATTTAAATATTTGACACTTAAGTATTTGTAACCATTTGTAATGTTTGTGGTATGAATTTGTTGGTGACGTTTATAATATAATAGATAATTTAGAGGTAAAAGTTTTTGGATATTTTATTTATTTTATACGTGGAAATTTTCATCTTTGGAAAGGGTATATACTTTTTGCGATCAGGTAACTTCATACATGTTCTTTTTACCAGACTTAAAGATTCACAAAATTTTCATGCATTTTCGTGAAATTTTTCTAATTTATGAGAAAAAAGCAGTGTACGTGGATATAGTGAAGAGTGTGTGCAATGCCATTTTTGTGCAATTCTGGGATGTTTTTTTAAGTAAAAATAAGTCGTTGTGTACAAGGTTTAGTGATATTTTAATTAAACGATAGTTATTTTGTGAATTTTATGTTTGTAGGAATTTGGTATACGTTTCAGTTGAAGTAAATGTGTATGGAAATAATTTAAATATTTGACACTAAGTATTTGTAACCATTTGTAATGTTTGCAGTATGAATTCGTTGGTGACGTTTATAATATAATAGATAATTTAGAGGTAAAAGTTTTTGGATATTTTATTTATTTTATACATGGAAATGTTCATCCTTGGAAAGGGTATATACTTTTTCGTGATCAGGTAATTTCATATATGTGCTTTTTACCGAGTTTAAAGATTCACAGAATTTTTTTGCATTTTCGTGCAAATTTTTGTAATTTATGAGAAAATAGCAGTGTAGATGGATAAAGTTAAGAGTGTGTGCAATGCCATTTTTGTGCAATTCTGGGATGTTCTTTTAAGTAAAAATAATTCGACGTGTAAATGGTTTATGTGTATGTGCTATTCTGAAAAGACGCGCAAGGAGTTTGCGATTGTGCACTTTTTCCCAATTTTGCAGTTAATATTTGTCATGATTAAGCAGTTTTGTTACATAAAATTTCTAGCATAAGTGTAATTCTGCTAGTAGATTGTTGGAAAAAGTGTTCAGTAAATAAAAAGGAAAGAAACATGTCTTTACTTCGTGAAGACATAATGGAGGCGGAAAAAAAATAGAGGGTTGATGTAGCAGAGTTGGTCGCCAAATTTTTGCCAAAAAATCGCCAAGTTACCATAATTCAAAGATCAACCCAAATTACATTATGTGATATTTCATTCCTGGTACTACAAGTTTGTTCATTATGGCTAACCTTCCTATTTCTGCGGCTGACTGAGCTGGCTGCTTTAATAAAAAAGTACTGTATTTTCTTCTAATATAAATGCTATGGAAAATGAGACAAAAATATGTATTTTATATTAGGCTGCATTCTAGGACAGCAACTGCACAAGATTTTCAGAAAAAAACATTTAAGGAAAAAGCTGTACTTTATATTCCAGTTAACCGTCCGAGCGGCACAGGATTTTAGATCCGTCATGACGACTGGTATTTAAACAGCATTTATTAATTGAGTTTGTATAATTACTTATTTTAGTCCATATTTTCATAAACTTACATTCATTACGATGATATTTACATTATTACCGAAAGTAAGAAAGCAAAACATCTTAAATTATAAGCTAATATATGCCAAGTAGTAAAACTTCTGATGACCACATAAAGCTCACACGGTTAATATGATGCATTAGCTGAAGCAGTGTTTCTCAAATGTGGTTTTACTGGATTTGAAAATATGTCCTCCACTATTTTCAGATTTAACAAGATTTAACATCGTTTCTTGCTCATAACACTGGTATATCTGCAAAGTCATTAGATTTTTTTAAGAAAAAAAAAAAAAAAAATGTAATGCCTCCCCACACAATTTAAACTTTGGACCTCCTAATGCTAGATGGACCTGCTTCCAACTACACCACAAAGATACATAGCAAATATCTTATTCTCAAAACTACATGAACTAAGTCTCTGTCTACAAGGTAATTCTTTGTTCTCAGTGTCCATGAGGAATTTAAAAGCTTTGAGAATAAACTTGGTTTGTGGGTTAGTTGTGTAAAATAGAGAAATTTTCCTCACTCATAACCTAAGTACTTTTTCTAGCACAAAATTATATTATTATTGGAAAGGAATTATGCAATGAAATAAATTCACATCTCAAAACTTCATGGTTACAATACAAAACTTATGTTTCAAGTTGTAAATATAATGAATTTTCATGGATCCTTGACCTTTCCATTGCAATTTTGACAGTAACAAATTATCATAGAATGAACAAAAACAATTAATTGCACTCTCTAGTGACAATGGACTTAAAATGTCATTCCACGCAGAAAGTGTGGTTAATTTATGGAACTCACTACCAGTGAAAATGGAATATATTGAACTGTACATTGGTGCTTTAAAATTTATAATTCAATTTGTTTTGTATGTAATCTGGTTTTCAGTGCTAACTGGGATAAAAGAAAAAAAAAAAAAAGATTGGAATCGATGTTATGTTCTGATCTGAGACTTAAGCTTACCAGCATACATCTAGGCATGGACAAGCTGTGCATGAAACAGCACACTCATTAATGTCATTGATGTGAGTAGCAACATTTATCTAATTTTTGGTTAATAAGATAAAGATTAGACAAACTCTAATAGCCTTGGATTATTAAAAATAAATATAACTGTTCTTATATCAATTAAATTGATTAATAACAATATACAATTAAATAAATTTTAATTAATAGTACAAAAAATTATAAGCAGTAACTTATGTTAAAAAATTGCTTTTGAAAGGAACAAGAGTTAAGGTGATCTATAGAACATTTTAATTTATTAAAATGTTCCCCTTTTGAAAAAAAAATTGAGAACCGTTGAGTTAGACAAAGAAAAGGAAAAATAGAAAATACTTCTAGCAATACTTTTCTTCCCTTCATTTGATTACAAACAAATATCAGAATAAATGAAATAAACATTAATGAATTATTATCACTGCAAGAGTTTTAAAGAGACAATATACAAGCACTTTTTTTTTTTTTTGTTTATTTAAAAATATATTAAATAGGATAACTCAGATCACTTAAATGGATTTAAATCGTATTTTCAAAGCTACACCCTCAAAAAATTCTAACTGGCATCTATTTCCTGAAACTTTTTTTGTTTTGTTTTGTTTTATGATGGAACTCACAAGAGCAGTGCTAATTTGAGAACATCAGCTATGCTTATTTTGGGAATACTTCATCATTCCTCACCAGAACACAATGGGAATTCTACCTGAAAAAAACTCAATCAAATGATGCTCAGTATAACTCGGCCCTCATTCCCGCATTTTAGATTTTACCTGAGTAAGAAATGGTCAATTAATCTCTTTACAAGGGTTTTTTTAAGTTGTATTTTAGGATAGCAACTTCACAAGATTTTGATACAATTTTCAGAAAAGAACATTTTAAGGGAAAAGCTCCATTTTATATTCCAGTTAATATGAATTAACTAGAGCAGTGTTTCTCAAACTGTGGTCCTCCTGGATTTCCAAAAGTGTCCTTTTCTATTTTCAAATGAAATTAACAAGACTTAATATCATTTCTTGCTCACGAAAGCTGCTACTGTTGTGTAAAAAGACGGTTTACACAACAGCAGAAGTCATTAGATTTTTTCCAACCACCCCCGAAAAAAAAAAAAAAAAAAAAAAAAAAAAAAAAAAAAAAAAAAGAAATGCTTCCCCCACATGTTTTGAACTTTGGACCTCCTGATGCTACATATGAACCTGCTTCCATACTTACGTATCTTTCAGATGTTATCGCATAAATAAATGAATATTTAATGCCGTCCGAGGAAGGAAAACAAGTTTTCATATTTGATTGTGTCATTACGACCGGCGAATTCTGTACGCTAATAAGAAAGGGAAATAACACACTAATAGTTGCTTTTTCAGTAACACGCATAAAAATATACATAATACTAGAATCCACCGTATACTAGGATTTTACCGAATATGTACACATTAATAAATGATTAATTTCATTTTTTTGTATGATTTTTGACATGCCGAAATAAATACATCTTCATCATTAACTATAAATGCGATAAAAAAGAGGAAGCCTGCCCAGCAGTCTTACCAACTGAAAAAACACTCTCTTGTTTATTTTTCCAAATAACTGCTGGTAACTTTTCCAAATCATCGCAAATCTATTAAAAAGACGGTTTACACAACAGCAGACAGACAGACAAACAAGGTAAACACATGTCTTCGCTTGCACAAGCTAAGTCCTTTAGCTCGTAGCGTGAAAAATCAAGGTAAATGAAAAGAAAAAGGCCCTGATTGTAAAATAAGGCTCTGGCTGTATAAAAAAAATAATGAATAGATGGAAGATGAAAGAGAAGCGTGGAGTAACCTAACCATGAATGTATCCCAAAGTGCAATGAAAAATGTGCCAAACAAGGCCTGATAGGCTGTTGTAAACATATAGTATGTTGAGAGAGGCTTTGAAAACACTAACCAAATCTAAATAAAGAAGGAGGAAGTATATCTCTTAACTATGTTTAATAATTTACTCATTTTTAATGCAATCATGTTTAACAATCACGTTTAATAAGCGTGTTTAATGGTAATTACGGAATGTTATAAAGTGTTTAATTAACATTCAGCTTAATATTTGTAATCTAAAGAACAGTTTGATAATATTAAGTACATCTATAAATTAGTTTATCTATAAGTAGGATATTTACAAATACTGCTGCCTCGTTCGGTCTACAAATGTTGCTTTAGAAAGAAAAATAATTTGAATATGCAATTAATAACTTTCATTAAAATGCAATGTAAAGATGCATACTCCAATGTCAAAAAGTTTATATTTTAATAAAAAATAAAGTTATAATACCTTTTCATAGCAGTATTATAATTTATTAGGTAAATAAAATTGATTACGTTTTGGCAACAGTGATAACAGAACGTAAAATAGTGTTAGTGGATTCGTGAACTCGTGGCGTACTGACTCGTTACCTTAATTTTTTCTTAAATTTTGTATTTGTGAGTTATCTGAATCTGCCCTAAGAAATAATAAATTTAGCTGAAGGAGGTTCAGTGAGTATAAGTATTCTAATATCCTTTGTTTTACATTTCAGAAATTCTGATATAAACGCTTCTTCCAGTGGATTAAAATCGCATTCCATTTCATAATGCTACTAAATGTGCATCTTGTGCTTTGTATCAGTTTGCACATTATGATAATGAGCGTTTATGGTGTAATCGGGAGTATGAAGGAAGTTATAAAAAGCAGAGGATTTCTGTATGATCTTTTATTCTTGTTTTTTTTCCATGAGTGTGGCTGGTTATTTTTCTTAATGAGTTTTAAATCGTGTCTATATTTCTCTATCAGTGTTAGGCATTGATGTCCAGAATTTTATATAAAATAATTCGACATAATTTATCCTCGTACAGTTTTATATAACTCAGCTTTATTGTATTAATGTACTCAAGATCGATCAAGCCTTCTAGATCGCTTAACGTAAGTGTAACTAATAATAAATGTGAAGAAAGAATTTTACCAGTGACTCTTAGTTTGAATTGCTGTCGAAATTAATAATACAAGACTAAAAGAGGGTATATTGTAAGTATATTGTTGTTCTCAACAACCTCATTTTCCCCGACAAATCCGGGTTTTTTCCGATTATATAAAATCTAGCAAGAATTTACAGCAAATTAGATTTTGTTAAGGTTGTCTTCATGTAAAGTAAATACGAGTCACTTTCATTGAGAAAGTTCCTTGAAGGTATCATTTCTCATAAATCATTCATGAATCAGTTAACTAACATTTCATTAATAAATCAACCAGCCATGCCTACCCTGTTCTGCCGAAATTTGATAAAATTGTTCATATTGTAATGTTTTTTGAGGCTTTATTAAGTGAGGATGTATTAATTTTATATTCATTCATGTTTCACTGCATGTTTTGTATCATTTAAAGTAATTTCTTTTCTTTCAGTTATGGCAAAGTCAAAGAACCACACAAATCACAATCAGAGTAAGCTTTCTTTTATTTAATTTTCTAAAAAGCAGCATTCAATTAAAAAATTTTAGGCTACCATTTGTTATATGTTCCATAAATGGCACATATATTTTCATATAAGGGATGTATACGTTGCTTCATATGAGCAAATGTAGTCTTGATATTCGAGTTTAAAATAAAATGCAGATTGTTATATAAAATTGATTTAAAACTTTTAATCTGTTTTTTTTTTTTTTTTTTTTTTGTCTCTTTTATCGATTAAAATGCATGTTTAAAAACAGGAAAAGCAGTGTTGTAATATTATGTCACGGAAAAAAATGTTCCAAGCTGTAAGTTTAAATTTAAAGATACGGTAAAAGGAGTTCAAGGTATTTGGCCAGTGGTAATTAAGGTGTGGAAGTATATAAGTTAATTAAAATTTTATGATTGTATAGGTGTGTAAGTACTAGTATAAAAATTTGAAGTTCAGAACACTAATGTATTTTGCAGTAATTGACAAAACAGGCAATCTTCTTATTAGAACATAAATTTTATTTCTAGTTCACAGAGATAGATAATTTGAAGAAATTCTTTTCCTTTTCATTCTACTCCTAGCTAGTAAAAACTTCTGAATCTAATTTTTAAAACAATTTCTCATGTACATTGCAGTGTATAAAAGAAAGACTTTTCAGTTGCGCATGGCAGAAAGGTAAACGGCTTGCTTTTACTCAGAAGCATAAAGAACTTGGCACTGTAAAATCTAAAGAAATAATGAATTTCTTAATAAAAGATGATGAAACAGATGCTATAAAAGCCGGATGCTATTTTGTTCTATTTTTAATTGAATATAATCTACCGATTTCAGTTTTGGATCATTCCAAATGGCTTTTCAAAGCAATGTTTCCGGATTCTGCCATAGCAAAAAACAAAATTTAGCTCGGCCATACCAAAACTGCTGCTATTGTGAAAACGCTTGCACAAAGTACTGTTGCTGATATTCTACAATCAGTATGCAATACATAATTTTCTTCTAAGCACTGATGAAATTAATGATAACAAACTGTACCTTTTGATTATAAGCTTATAGTAAAGGAAAGGGAGTGATTACTTCATTGATTTCTATTTTAGAATGCATGAATAATAACAGAAAAGGTATTTTTAATTTTATAAGTGAAAACTTTAACAGCTAAGGTTTACAATCGAAAAATTGCATATCATTTTCTTCAGATAATGCTAGTAATATGATGGGAAAAATTAACAGTGTAAAATCATTTATCAAAATGCATCAACCAAATATAATCATCCATGGTTGTTCATGCCACTTCTTGCATATAGCTGCAAAAAAAAAAAAAAAAAAAAAAAAAAAAGCTGCTAAACAATTAATTGGCTCAAATCAAAATGTTATTAATAGATATATATTTTTATTTGAAGAAAAGTTCTAAACGGAAGCACAGCTTCAAAGTTACTCAACAAATTTTGGGACAGAATGCAGAATCTCATAAAATTTTGAAATAATGCAGTACAAGATGGTTGTCTCTTTTAGAATCTATATCAAGGATTTTGGAAATAGTGGGATGCTCTGATTATTATTATTATTTATTTTTTGGGTATCAACCAGGTAACAGTGAGAATGAAGGAAAGAGTCGCAAAACGTTAAAAAAATGTTACTTACCACTAAATTGTACTTGTTATTTTTGAAAAATACTTTGTTTATGACAGTAAATATTAATTTGCAACAAGCTCCTTATATACATAAATTGAGAAGAGATATTGAACTTTTGATGAATTTATTTGTTAGATTCGTAAAACCATCAGTAACTTCTAAAGAAAATGAAGATGTTACTTGAACATCTATTCCATTTCAGAAGTGTAGTAAACAAAAAGAAAATGGAAATTTTGTGATTGGTGCAGTAACAAGCGTGTATTTAAAAAATGCCAAGTTGAATGAAAGTGAATTGAAATTATTTCTTAAATCTGTGCAAGTTTTTTTTTTGTAACTTTGTCGTATATAAATTTCAGATAAATCATAGATAAATTTCCACTAAGTGATCTATTTCTAAAACATGCTGAAGTTGCTGACATCAATTTGAGAATGAAGTTTCATTTTGTTATTTTCTTGATGAATACTTTCTCATCCATTATTGATGAAAAATATCTTAGTCAAGTGCAAATTGACTTTTCTATGTATCAAGTAGATGATTTGAAAGAAATTGCAGATTTGTTTATTGATATAGCATGGGGAGAAATTAAAAAAATATTAATGGGTATATTAAATAACAAAGTATTGCCTATTGTAATGCTTTCTGTCTTAATAATACCTTATTCAAATGCAGCTTGCGAAAGAATGTTTTCTATTTTAAAAAAATCAGAATGAATTTTAACCAAATTTAGGTCCATTCTAAAACTTTCGAAGCAGTTTTGATTGAAAAAATAAATATGCAGGCAAATGAAGAACTGTTATAAAAAAACATTCTCAAAATCAGAACTTAAGCTTGCTAAGCATGCTACATATAAATATATGCATTTGCAAATTATGAGTATTTTTAAATAATTATATGTATTATTCTTAGTTATCTAAATTTTTTAAAAACATTTTATTTCCCTGTGGAAATTAAATCCAGAATAAAGATAAATGATTTATGGATTCTGATTTTTTGTGTGATTAGTAGTGATTTAAAATATTTGCTTCGATGATATATTAGTAGATTTAGTGATATATGTGCTAGAGGAGTTAAATGAAAATTTCTAATTAAATGTGCTTATAATTTATAAGACATATTTTTAATTATTCTGTTTTATATGTGTATGGATTTTAAATGTAATAAAATTGATTACAATTAATGATTAATTAAAAATTAATGAATGGTTAATTAAAACATGCATTGTGCGTGCATTAAGTACGAGTTTGAGTTTTCCTAATTTTAAATTGCACATTCAGCCTGCTCTCTTAAAGAAAGCAGACTGTACATAGGACTTTTTGAGCTTGCAAGCTGTTCCTTTAGAAGTTACAAATCTTTCTGATTGGGAGATGTAAATCTCTTCACAGTTTTTGCATTCAGATAAACTGAACATCCATTTGATGTATTTTCAGACCACTTTTGGCAGCTTCTATAGAGTTATAGAAAAATTTTGTATAGAGTTATAGTGAACCATGGGCAGTGTTTCCATGTAGTCAATTCTGTACTTTTGCAAACATGTTTTGGCACCAAGTCTAGCCCTGTACCAGTTGTCTCTGCCATCTGCCTTTCACTTTAATTAGAATACTC